GGCTGCGTTCTGGGCAGCGCCGTGGAATGTGATTTGGACGAGCTGTTAGCCACCAGACTGGTGTCCTTTCTAATGGACCATCAAGAAAGCATCCTCTCGGTCCCAGAGTACCTGCTCAGTGCTATCAGCGACCGTATACAGTATCTGCGTACAGTACAGGTACACCCGTAGCCCCTTACAGAATATGCATCCTGAGGTCACATACACAGATACCTCATGTAGTAGTATAATAGGTTGTACAGTGATATGTTTTACAGTGTTGCATAAACACATGTTAAATTATACTTTATGTTTGTTTTTTATAAATCTATGTATTATACATTGTGTAATGTGTGTATAAAATGTGTAAAAATGTAGTTGAAAATATAGCAGACCATATAATTTGTCAGCTTTTGAATATACAGTTAATCCACACAGACATACAGATGTTCTCTTTGATACCACAGGTTCCAGTCGACGGTGTTCCTAATGTGGATGGCGGCGATCCAGTTTGCGCTCCAATGCCCATCTACGCGTTCTGCCATCAGATTAGTGGCGCAGAGTTTGAACAGCAAAAGCTGGAATCTTCCCAGAAGGCCATGGAGGAGCTGCTGGAGATGTTGCTGACAGACCAAAACATAAGTGAGAAGGACAGACGCAAGAAACTGAAGCAGGTAACAAAACACTCCTCAAATGCTCAGTCAGAAATCTGTATTTTCACTATATATATACCTGAAGCTTCTTTATCATAAGCATGAAGTTACAGGCAGCACCTTATCCAATCAGCCAGTGTTTGGTTCTTTAACATGAACACATTACATAAACATCTTTTGATTTGAGTTATTAAAGACGTACTGCACATTTTTTGAGCCGTAAACAAAATAATATGACTGCTGTGATTAAACCCATCAATGCTGGTGTTGACATTCTCACCAAATGTATGGAAATCATTTTGTGAGTTGAAAATGGCCGAACATGTGACAGTAATTAAGGTCCAGTTAGTGTAGCAGAGCCTTTTTTTTTTCAGTGAGCCAATATGCACAGTAGCAGCCCCCTGACTCTGTTTGACCTGACTATTTACTGTCAAAATGGCTGCTGTGAAAAAGGTCTGTGGTCATTTGTAACATTTTGCAGCAGTTTTTACTAGCCTTCGATTTCAGCAATCATTAGTTTCAACTAGGACATAAAGAGTAACCGAAGGGACCAGTGTGCAGGATTTAGTGGCATCTAGCAGTAAAGTTGCAGACATCACTAATGGCTGTTAGAGGTGAGCAGAGGGCAGTGAAACACTACTGTTCAGCCTGGTGTCAAGTTACTCTTAAAGGCACTGATATACTTAAACTGATGGTTGCCACACTGGGTGTCTGCATAGATGGACGTCAGTGAAGACAGTCCAACAGATCCTCTCGGACATATGATGATGGAATTAATAGTATGTGTACTCTCATGGCTGTGTGGACATGGTCAATCACTCTATAATGAGTTTTATTGTCTTTTGGTTTAGTTTCAGAAGCAGTATCCAGACATCTACCGCCGTCGGTTTCCCTCCTCAGACCGGGAAAACAACAAGCCAAAGATTAAACCTCCCCTCCTCAACATTAAGAAGACCAAAGCTTTCAGCATCAGGAACTAAACTAACCATGCAGGTGTCACCGTTATAGAAGCCAGTATTTCCATCGTTTTTGCTGCACTTTTACTGCACTGATTCTAAGAGACTTCTCTTTGCAGCCATTAACTTTTTGTTGTGACATTCGAAATACTGTTCCTGTTGTGTCTTATTGCTGTGCTAATATAAGAGGTAATGCAGGCTGGATGACTTCTACAATGGTGTGTGTGTGTGTGTGTGTGCGTGTGCGTACCGCGTTGACAGCTGAGTAAGATGAAGGCAGACAGAGAGTGGTTCCTTAGAGAAGTTCACGTTAGTTAATGTGTTTCAATATAACAGGGTTTTTTTTTTTTTTTTTGTAGTATCTGTGTTCATTTGGATCGGTTGAATTTTCTCTCAAAACCCTTTTTTATTTCCCCTCTCACCTGTCATCTCTGTTGCTAGCTGATACTGACCTGAATGAAAGTGTGTGTGTGTGTGTGTGACTGTGTGCTTCAGAGTGCATTTTGGGAGAAAAAAAATAGGCAATTCTGACATCACTGGTACGGCCATAATTAGATGATAGATTTCTTAATTTATATGAGCGATGATATTGGGAGCCGTGGTAGAGACGTCTTTGTTTGACATGTTTCTTGTCACGTTAACTGTTTTTATAGACTTTTTTTTTTTTTACATCATTGAATCTCAAGTTTTATTTGAAATGCTCTTTAGTCTTCATGTTTCTTGTGTGGTGTGTTTTTAAAGCATTTTACAGTAAAGTTTTAGGTTTTTCTCTTATGGGATCTTTCGGTTTCAAGGATCTCAGTTATTTCATGTACATCTCAGTTATTTTAAATAGAGCTCACCTTTCCCAGTTCTTTTTGTTCATTCTTTGTGTGTCTTATCCCTAACTCATCCCTTCTTAGTTTATTGGCTAGAGAAATGTTTTGCACTGGATTTAGGCATTGGGATAAGTCATGTCAATCATAAGAATGGTTAATTTATACATATTTAATGCAAATTAGACTCCCTAAAGAAGGTTTCACCCGACACTTGTCATATACTGGGTAAACGGTTGCTACTGCTTATAAATAAAGCCTCATAAAGTGTTTTCTCAACTACTGCGTTAATCATTTGAAAGCAGTGAAGTGACTATTGTCTGTACCTATTGTTATGACAGCCGCTTGTCTGGGATGGCTTGCGTTAATTGCCAGTGATGGATGCTAACAGGTATTTAGTCAACTGAGGTGCAATACAGAACCCATATTATGTCAAGTGTCAGAGGAAATGTAACAAGCTTGGCTCAAAAGCTCAAGCTGTCCCTTTTTTTTTTTTTTATATTTATCTTATATGAAGTATTAGTTCTACCCTCATATGTTTGTCTATACCTCAGATCAGATGTGTGTGTGTGTGTTTGTGTATGTATGCCTCACCATATATATGCACTCATCAGCAGACTTTTACGGAGGAGTATGTATCTACACAGTTGTACTCTTCCTCTACATTGTTTACTATGCAAAGTCCTGGAAAATAAACCTGTTCTATTTATATGCTTTTGTCCTGTTTCTGTTTGCAGTTTTGTGTGTGGGTTTGTGAAATGAATTAATCATTAGTTGATTAATCGATCAGTTGTCTGCTATCAAATTAAAACTATTTTGATAATTAATTCATTGTATTTCAGCTTCTCAAATGTGTTTATTTTCTGGTTTCTTTAATAGTAATTATGACAGTAAACTGAATATCTTTGAGGTTTGGATGTCAGCTTAGGCTTTGGGAAACTTTTTTTTTCACCATTTTCTAACAGAAATATGTCATTAGTTGCAGCCTTGTGCCAGGTATACTAGACTGGCCCCTGAACAGACAATAAAAACTACATTCCTTCCACCCTTAATATAACGCTGATACTATAATGGGATTAAAGCCAAATCCAGTGGCTTTAGTACGTCAAAATTGTTTCTGTGAAATGTTCTGAGCACAATTTTTTATCCCTTTCCTTTTGGACATTCCTGTAGTCTCACCGTCTTTTATTCTGGTGCCATCCTTACACAAACATTTCCCCCTGTGTACGTTACCAGTACAGTCTGTTGACTTGTTTTCATATTTGGTTAGCACTCTGACGCTCTCAAGAGGAGGAACTCCTCTAAATAAGTTGGATTCCACTGCATGTTTTTTTTATTTTTTTTAAACAGGACAGACTTTTTGAGAGAGAGAAAAACACTGACTGTCAGTCTGATGTGAATGTGATTATTTTTGTGGGTATGTGGTTGTAAAAGTATTGAATAAATTAAAAATGTTGATCTGATTATGGCGCTAGATGGAAAGTTAAAGGTCCAATGTGTAACATTTAGGAGGATCTATCAGCCGGAAAGTAATAATTCATAGGTATGTTTTCATTAGTGTTTTCGCCTGAAAATAAGAAAAAGTTTATTACCTTAGAATGACCCGTTTTTATCCAAAGAGGGACCGTGTTCTTATGCAGAGTCTGCCACCTTGAACCATCATGTTCCTGCAGTAGCCCAGAATAGGCCAATCTGCAAATTCACCACAAGATGCCACTATATCATAGACACCGGTCCTTTAACGGGTCACCAAAGTTAGAACAATTCATCCAGAGGGGAACGTGAATGTTTGTTCAAGGGTCCGTGAAAATCCATCAACAGTTATTCAGATGTTTCAGTCTGGACCAGTGGTGAGAAGTGGTGGACTGTCAGACTGACTACGCCATCTCTGGAGCCATGAGCACGGCTGAAAACAACAAAAACTCAAAGACAAGCATAACTTCACTTCTTCACTCGGCAGGAACGGACAGATTACTGCTCATATCAACCCTTATCACGTAACCATTCATTAGAATCCACCCTTCCATCTTTCTATTCAGCAGTCAACTTTCATTTATCAAAATGACAGAAGACAAAAAAAAAATAGTCATGGTTAATCATTCCCTCTTTCTTTCTGTTGCTCTCCCTCCCCCTCCGGGGCTAGCCAATTAAAATAGTTTCTGAGTGTCTGTAAAGGCTGTCTGGAACTAATTAGACAGGATTCTTACAACACGCATATCCATGTACAAACAACAAAACTAACACACTGCTTTTAAAAGCTGACTTTACTAGTTTGACCCACATCATTGGTAGGTGAGTGAGTGTTTGTGTTCCCAGAGACCTTGTTGCGGGGGCCCAGAGAACATTCTGCATGGAGCTGAGGGCCAGACGGCTGAAAGGAGAGGAGACAAAGCTGGCTTGTTCAGCTCTGGATAAGAGCAGGGAAGGAGGAGGAGGAAGAAAAGGCAAAGCAGGGGACAGGGGAGAAACACGCTTAAAAGGAAAATGGGGGAGGAGAGGGAGATGCAGAGGAAAGGAGGGAATGGGGGAAATGAGGAAGGATGGAAAGGGGGAGGAGAAAATGAGAGAAGGGGGTGGACGAGAGGAAAAGGGTGGAGGGGGCCCAGTTTCCATCCCTCACCACAGGAAATCTGTGTGGTTTAAATGCAAGCCAGAGTCTCTTTTCACAGGCTGCTTGAAGAACATACGGCAGCATGGTCAGTCGGTGAGTAAAACTTTCCCTTTCTTTTCTCTTGTAGTTTTCAGGTTTGATGATACAAAAACTTAAAGACTAAACATATTTTTATAAAAAGACCTTTCAAGGTTCATATTTTGGTTTCTCAGGAATGAATAAGTGAAAGCAGTTTGTAGACGTCACTCAGTGACGTTTGTTGTTTTCCTTGAATGAGAAAAAGATTTGATGGTGAACTATGCAGTTTTCCACCAGAGATTAAAAACAAAACTCTCAACATGAGATTAAAGAGAAAATGTATTGCTGCAGTAGTGAAATACCTGCTAAAACCAGAGTCTGCTGCAAAAACATCTGTCAGACTAAGTAACAGAGAAAAAGCTGCTGTCTTTGAACTTCTTGGTTTTGTTACCAATCAAAGCAGATGCAGACAAGCTGTGCTGTTTGCTGTAGTTTTCCGGTTTGATGTCAAAATAAGGGTCAGTTTTAGTGGATGCTAAGTCCTGTAGCTGATGTGATTTTTTTTTTTTTTAGTCGATCTTGGAGTTCATGCAAACACATACTGACAAATACATTCTGGAGCTTTTGATGGTATCACACCATCTTCCTCAGCAGATGGAGTTTGAATTGTGTAAGGAGTCTAGACCTGCTCTATATGAAAAGTGTTCATACAACACAAAAGAAACCATGTCTTTTAAAACTTTTTTCTGACTTGGTCTTGTTATTGAGTTGTTCTTTAAATTCAGTGTTTTATTTTCCTCTCCAGTGTGGAGCATCCTGCTGGAGGCTACAAGAAGATCTTTGAGACAGTGGAGGAGCTGAATGAACCGATACCTGCTAAGATCACTGGTAGGAACTATTATAGTAGTGGTAGGAACTAACTATAGAAGCAGCCTATTCATTATTTCTTTCTTGATTTCAAAGCTGACAATAGTACAACTCTACTGTAAACTAACATAGCAATGATCCACCTTAGACTATCAGGTCTAAACTTTGACATAGGCTGACAGATTTTCTTGAAGGAGCCATTTGAATTATGGGATATACAGTTATTCTCTTACAAGCTGAGACATGAGAAGATCAATATCACTCCCATGTCTGCCAAATATAAGGCTACATCCGGTGTCACACCATATGTTGTGACCTGACGAGGATTTTCAGCTACTAGAAACGTTTCATACTGTTTCCAGTATGTGAAGCTGTTTCCAAACATTGTGGTACCATATATTGTCAGATGAGGTTTTGGAGCTTTACAGACAGACCTAAAGTTTTTGTTATTCTAGCTATTAGAATTTGTGACCCTTTGTGAAACTAACATCTGAATTATAGGGTCACACATTCTGCTATCGAACAGCTGTCGAAATTTGTTAACATAATACTCTAGAGTGACATTTATGTTAACACCTATTGTAAGAAATTATGATACAAAGTATGAAAGAATGTTTAATAAAATGGCTAACAACTGAAGTTCTACAGGATTTTGATCACAGAATCGGATGGGTCACAGAATTTGTGAAAGAAAATAATCTGCATACTAGCACCTCTAATCTCACTAATTAATGTGTTGTCTCATCTCATCTTCTAGTCCTGTGCATAGAAACAATAAAACTGAACAATAGCACGTGACTGTGTGTGTGTGTGTGTGTGTGTGTGTGTGTGTGTGTGTGTGTGTGTGTGTGTGTGTTTGCAGGTATTATACCGTCATGGCTGGGTGGCAGTCTTCTCAGAATGGGTCCAGGTCTTTTCGAGATCGGAGATGAACCCTTCTACCACCTGTTTGATGGACAGGCTCTCATGCACAAGTTTGACCTAAAGGACAGTCAGGTGACCTACTACAGGAAGTAAGAATCTTCATTACCTTACAAAAGCAGAGGACATCTTAAACCACACATTTGGAATTTGGGAGATGATTACCAGTTTTCATGTGTGTTTTTACATGTTTTCTTGTCTGTCTTTTCTCTTTCTATGCTGTTTTGAAATGTATTTTTTCTTGTGTTTTCTTTAGAAATAGTTTTTGAGATGGATCTGGTGCTAGGAGTGGGTCCAGAAATGTTGTCTTAACATTGCTGGACATTTTTTTAACATAAATTCACAAATCTGACACACACACACTCGATTGTTTATCACTTGTTATCCAAATCCAAATACTGTTGCAGGTTTTTTTTATGACATCTGATTTTTGTTAGTGCAGAGAGGAATGCAGTTCTGTGCAGCTGAGGAAAAGAGTTGAAAGTAAATTCATCCAAACCGGAATGTTGCAAGAGAAGAGAGAAAAACCACTCAGACACAAAACCAGACCACAAAAATCATTCTTCCAACTCATTTTGAGAAGAAGTTTTGTCTGTTGGGCAGAGTCAGTAATGTGTTTTATGAAAATCTAAAAAGCACTGACCGTTTGAGTGAGTAAAGTTTTATATATATATATATCATATATGTATATATGTTTGGAGTGGGGACGGATAAAACGCTAAGATTTGAGGATTGAAGCGGTCGAGGAGTGGAATGAGGAACGATAGAGCAGAAATGTAACTGGGTGAAAGATCATGCAGCTGTACTATAATCTAAACAGGAGAAAATATAAGTGTAATTAATAGTTTGAGATTTGTGGAAGACAAGAAACATCTGATTTAATGATTTTTTTTTTGTTGAAGAAAACAGTTCTGGACAAGCTTAGTAACATGATGGTCAAAAATCATATATTGGTCAAAGATTATTCCAAGATTTGTAGGTAGGTTTGATATTTGAGTGTTGTCAGGTCCAATCTAAAATCTGTTTTGTTTTGTCAGGATTTCAGTGGATGAAATTGAGAGACAGCTAATTTTTGGTTGTGGCTAAGCAGTCATAGAGGGAGGTTGATTCAGGTTATTGTGTTTTGCAGAGAAATAGATCTGTGTATCATCGGCATAACACTGATATGAGACGTCTACAAAGGGGCTGAACCACTAATAGCATGGGCTGAACAAATGACCCAGAGGACATGTACAATAAAAAGAGAATTGGATCAAGAACTGACCCCTGAGGGACACCACACATCAGGGAAGCAGAGGAGGATACATGATTATTGATACAAACATTAACATTAACATTAAATCTATTTGTGAAATAGGAAGAAAACCAGTTTAAAGCTTCACCAGAAATTCCAACCTAGTTATGCAGCCTTAACTCAGCAGATAAACTGAGTAGCATAAAAAATTAAATGTTTACCTTTGTTTGCATGCATAAGGATGTCATTTGACACTCTTAGTAATGCTGTCTCAGTGCTAGGCTGCAGGGAGAGGAGCAGATTCAGACAGTATAAGATGCAGTCTTCACTGTTAATAGACGATAAATATCTTTTGACTTTATGGTTCTTTGGCACATGATATGTGTAATCTCTCTGCTCAGGTTTATCAGGACGGATGCATACGTTCGTGCCATGACGGAGAACAGAGTAGTCATCACAGAGTTTGGAACAGCAGCCTACCCAGATCCCTGCAAAAACATCTTCTCCAGGTAACCCCCTATCCTTGACCTTTTCAACAACACTGAAGTTTACAACTGAGGTTCAATCGGTCAAATATTGTAGGCGCTGTGTGTAAATAATCATTCCCACTCTCACGCTAATGTAGTCAAACCTCATAATATTTCTGAATGATTTAATCACCTAGTTGTTGCCAACACCTATGTTTACAAGGTTTATAGCTCCAGGTTTTTGCCAAGAAATGTTTATAATGTGTTTTTTTAAAAATAGGTTTTTTAAAAATGTATGTTTACAGTTGGTTTAAACAAAAAAAGATTAATGGCATTCTTACTTCTCTCAGGTCAGGTTGTTGGTGCTGAGTTTGCGCTGAATATAAGAATAAGTAGCACTTAGGGGGTCAGTGTTTTTTTGACTGGTGAAATATAAAAATGTCTAACTATCCCAAAAGTGGTAGGCCTCAGACTCCAGAGAGTTTTAATCACAGTGTGTGTCTGTTAACTGACGTATTCAGGATTTCTGTACGCTCTGTATGAATACTATACATGTGTTGTTAGCATCCAATGTCCCACAGTATTATAATAATGTAAATACTATATGAAACTGTTTTAATAAAACACACGTTTGGATATTGATTGACCTTCAGTCTTGTTTCTGTGCAGATTCTTTACTTACTTCAGAGGCATTGAGGTGACTGATAACTGCTTAGTGAACATCTATCCAGTCGGTGAAGACTTCTACGCTGTCACAGAGACTAATTACATCACTAAAGTTGATCCTGATTCGCTGGAGACTTTAAAGAAGGTGAGAGCTGATTGGTTTACATCATGCTGACTCTTTGGACGTGCAGGCGGTATTACACTGATAATGAATGAGTTTCTTGATGCGGCTCTTTCTCTGTCTTGTGTGCTGCATGTATTTATATTAGGTGGACCTGTGTAAGTACCTCTCAGTGAATGGGGTGACTGCCCACCCCCACACTGACGCAGATGGCACAGTCTATAACATCGGCAACTGCTTTGGCAAAAACATGAGTCTGGCTTATAATATCATCAAGATCCCACCTGCTCAGAAAGGTGAGTCTTGTTCCTCTGGATTTCGTTTTTAATTGAAGGAACTGAGTTTATTTGACTTAATCACATGCACACACCTTCTAATGTTGATTCACACGCTGTCTCTATGTTTCCAGACAAGTCAGATCCTCTTGAGAAATCCCAAATTGTGGTTCAACTACCCAGCAGTGAGAGGTTAAAACCCTCCTATGTACACAGGTACCCAGTTAGTTCTTCCATTTCTCACAATGAATGCATCTGTAACTGTTTGATGAAACTCTCCCAAACCAGCCAAAAACCCTCAGTTTGTGTCTGTGACCGCTCAAAGAGTTGTTACTGCTGCTTACGTATCTGTACGTGTCTGTCTCTCTTTGCTTGTCTGTCTGTAGTTTCGGCATGACAGACAACTACTTTGTGTTTGTGGAGCAGCCGGTGAAGATCAACTTGTTCAAGTTCCTGTCGGCTTGGAGCATCAGAGGAGCTACGTACATGGATTGCTTTGAATCCAACGAAAGCTTGGGGGTAGGCCAGTTTAATTTAATATCAAGTTTGTTAGCATCTTGGATGAATTGCAGACCCAGGGCCCCTGGCCCAGACTCTCAAAAAATGATCACAAGGAGGTGCAAAAAAATTACTGGACAGGGCGACTCAAAAAAAAAAACCACAACCACAAAAATGTGAAAATGACCACAAAGACATGCACAACAACTACAAAGTTACACAAAATCTCCACAGGGAGATGCAAAACAACCACAAAAACATGCAGAAATGATCACAAAGAGATGCAAAAAACCCCACTGAGATGCAAAATGAGGGCAAAGAGACGCAAACCCCCCAAAGAGACACAAAATGACCACAAAGAAATGTAAAATGATCAATGATCAATGTGTGTGTGTGTGTGTGTGTGTGTGTGTGTGTGTGTGTGTGTTGTAGACATGGTTCCACCTGGCCACCAAGGACTCAGCAGGTTACATGAGCAGCCACAAGTTCAGAACATCAGCTTTCAACATCTTCCACCATATTAACGCCTACGAGGACCAGGGATTCATCGTTGTTGACCTCTGCACGTGGAAAGGGTGGGTGTGACCCTGCGTGTGTCTGTGTGAGTGCTTCATGATCAGTATAACTGTCTCATCCTGACCTCTCTCTCTCGTTTTCCACAGCCATGACTTTGTGTATAACTACCTGTACCTGGCCAACCTGAAGCAGGAGTGGGAGGAAGTGAAGAAAGCGGCAATGACAGCTCCTCAGCCCGAGGTTAGACGATACGTACTGCCGCTGGATATACACAGGGTGAGTCGACACCTACACACACACGTACTGCAAGTTAGCGATGTCATCACTAATGTATTTACTGGTTGTATGGCATTCTTTTATGAACTTTTATTTTGAAATGTCTGTGTGGAAGTCCTCTCTTTCTAATTAGTAGGACCTGATCATGGATCCGTATTTCATTCAAGTCACAACTTTTCCCATAAACCAAAAGGTAAAATACCCTTCTATAGTGTGAGTGTGCTAACAGTTTGTGTGTGCTTGTGTGTGTTATCAGGAAGAGCAGGGGAAGAATCTGGTATCTCTGTCCTACACTACAGCAACTGCTGTTCTTCTTAGTGATGGCACCATCTGGCTGGAACCTGAAGTCCTCTTTTCTGGACCAAGACAGGGTGACTGACACACACACACACACACACACACACACACACACACACACACACACATTCCTGCATTCAACCCTTTACTCATGTAAAAGTACTTAATTATTACCATTAACATAACCTTAAAATGCCAAAAGAAGAAGTACTAATGTATTAACGTATTCACCACTTTAATGTTGCAGCTGGTAAAGGTGAAAATAATTATAATTATTTAATGTACTGAATATAATTTTTCGTCATGATGTTTATGTATATGTATTTATAGGGGTCTCTTTCTTTGTATATGTCTCTTTCTCTCTCTCAGCCTTTGAGTTTCCACAGATTAACTACTCTCAGTGTTGTGGGAAGAAGTACTCCTTCGCCTACGGCCTGGGACTCAACCACTTCATCCCCGACAGGGTAGGAGCACTTTTATCATTCACGGACGAAAGAAAGAAAGAAAGAAAGAAAGAAAGAAAGAAAGAAAGAAAGAAAGAAAGAAAGAAAAGTGTTTGGTTGCACTGATGTTGTTGTTAACAAAGACTGTTGGTTGTTTATTGGTGACATGCTGTAGATTGTCAAGCTGAACGTACAGACCAAAGAGACCTGGGTGTGGCAAGAGGAAGAGTGTTACCCATCAGAGCCGCTGTTTGTACCAACACCTGGAGCCACAGGGGAGGACGATGGTAGGAGACACATAATTACACTCTGTCTCTCTCTCTCTCTCTCTCTCTCTCTCTCTCTCTCTCTCTCTCTCTCTCTCTCTCTCTCTCACACACACACACACACACACACACACACACACACTATAACTCTCACACACACACACACATATACTATATATAACTACAAGTGAAACATACAGCACATTGGTCTGCATACATTAAGTACATTTTCTTGATTATACCTACATATTTTTTTACTTCAGTAACATTTTCAGTTTTACTTGTAACAAAGTATTTTTACAGTGTAGTCTCAGTACTTTTACTTATATACGTAAATACTTCCTCCACCACTGCTTCTTTCTAATCATATCTGAGGTGGAAACACACACACACACACACACACACACACACACATACACACATTCACCCCCGTCTGTCTCTGTGTTTCAGGTGTGCTGCTGAGTATCGTGGTGAAGCCCGGTGCAGAGAGGCCTGGCTTCCTGCTGGTGCTGGATGCCATGAAACTGACAGAGCTCGCCAGGGCAGAGGTCAACGCCATCATCCCTGTGACCCTCCACGGCATGTACAAACCACAACCCCGATCTTCATCCTAACCCGGCCAATACACCAGGTTCACTCTCCTGCCTGCCAGCCAACTATGTCTCTGATCCAGATCTGAACCTCAGAAGCCAACAACAGTTACTTTAAAGGGACACTTAGCTGAAGTGCTATTTATCCATCTAGAATGTTTGGTGTTAGTTGCTGAGTTTTGGAGATATCGGAGCAGAGATGTCTGCCTTCTCTTGAATATTATGGAACCGGATGGCGCTCTGCTTTTGGCACTCATAGCATCTGAAAAATACATTTGAAAAACTCAAGAGCAATTTCTTTTTCCAGAACTCCTTACTCAAGATAATCCAGACTTTGCTGTACGCAGTTTCAACAAAGTGTGCATTTTTGAGCTTGCTAATGTTACAGCTCAGCAGAGGACACCATTAATGTTTACATCCTGCACAGTCACAAGCACGAGCCTTTCGTCTATGAGTAGATGCAAGTTTCCTTCTGCGCAGTGATACGTAGAGAGAAAATAGTTCCTACATGAAATTGCTCATAACCAGCTCTGGATTATTTGGACTAACGGGTCATGATTCCTGGAAAGAGACGCTGCTGTTGAGTCTTTCAAATGTAGTTTTTTGGCACCAACAAGTGTCACTTTACACACAGACAAATTCCCTGTAAAACATAAAGTGTTGATATTTAAAGTTAAAGGATTATTTTTCCCTTTTTCATTTTATTTGTACATTTATTATTTAGCTAAATAACCTGTAATTAATCTTATTTTCATTACTCCTTGGGTTCAAGCTTGCTGCTGAGCTAGCTCCGAGTTAGCAGTGTATGTTGATTGCAATGAAAAATGTCTTCTTTTAATTGAACAGTACCTTGTAGCTCTATCCTTGATTTCATAATTAAAATATAATTATTATTATTAAAAATAATTAAAATAGTACTTGTATATTTAAAACTCATCCTTTTAATGTAAAGGGTAACACTTAGATACAAAATATTTTTGCAACTGATATTTTAAAAAAGGTATTAACATTTTATTTCTTCTCTTACACAAATATTTTACCAGACAAATACAAGTGTATTATTACAATTATTATTCCAAGAAAACTGTCATGTGCAAAAATGAGACAGACATTAAATTATCACAATGTACAGCAGTTATAATGTTAATCATAGTCTATAAACTGTTTTTAAGGTTTTTGAGACAATCAGACATTATTATTGAGTTCACAGCTTCTTGTGCTGCCCCCAACTGGCCAAAAAAAAAAGATTTAAAAAAATAAATTTATTCAGGTTTAAAAATGATTTGGTTCATTAGGATGATCAATTAAATCAAATTCAGACACATTATTTTGGTGCAACTCCTTTGCACATATCGGGAGAGGTTTGTGTTGTCCAGAGGGCGTGAGGAGGAGAAGGGTGGAGGCTTCTACATACGTAGAAGTGTTGATTGCAGTTTCTCAGTAGAAAGCTGATACTGCTGCTGTTTGATGATGTCCAGGCAGTCTCCGAGAACCTACAAACACACAACACACGGATTAATTTGCGCAAAAAGATGTCATAACGGGGAAAAAGCGAAAGGGCAAGTTCAAATTATACTGGAAATAGTTTTTATGAACACTCTGAAAGCCTAAAACTCTCACAAAATTGTGTTATTTTACCTTCCTGGTGTGCTGAGGCAAAATAACTCCATCATCCCAGAGCCTGCCGGAGCTGTAGAAGGCTGAGCTCTCCTCCTTTAACCTCCTGTTCAGGTCATCCTCCTGCTCACTCTCAGGGGGAAGCAGGGAGCCGGAGTGACCCGGAGCCGTCAACGCCACTCTAGCATTCGGCCACAGGAACAGGAAATTAGGGTCAAAGGCCCGCCCACACTAAAGACAAACAGGAAACAAGGTTCAAATTATTGTGGAATAATAATGTATAGGAATGTATAGGAATGTCAGTAACGTTTAGGTATTGAGTCACTCACCATGGCGTAGCTGTCAGCACCATGGCAACCACCAATCACCACAGTGATTTTGGGGACGGAGGCACACGCTACTGCTGACATCATTGAACCCTGAGCCTTCAGACGGTTACTGTTTATCTCTGCCTAGAAGAAAGATTAACACACACAAACACACAGAAAATACAGATATGAAACAAAACATGTGTAAATAAAAGTGACTTCGGCTGACACTGACCAAGATCAGTTCCCCTATATCCTTGCCATTCCTCACGCCATTCATAATTTTCTTCCATTCAGGAGGTACTACTTCAACCATTTTCTCTTTGATGTCGTTTTTTAAATAAATACTATTAGAAATATAGTGCTAAGAAAGAGGCAGAGGAACTATTTATGTTTTTGAGTTTTACAGTGTATTAGTATGAGTATCTGGAAATATGTGTATTTAAACAAGCCGGTGTGTGTGTGTGTGTGTTTTACTGGGAGTGAATACCTGCGTTGGTGAGAGTGTTAGAGCTGCTGCAGGTGCTGTGTTCTGGAGGAAGAGGAGGGGGATGTCTCTCTGGTCACACAACTGGACAAAATGGCTGCCTTTCAGTGCGGCCTGGGTTGACAGCTCTCCGTTGTTGGCTACTATTCCCACCAGGTGGCTATCGTAGACATATGCACAGAAAGAAAACATGTAACACGAGAATATGCTCGATCAGCACCCCATATAAACAATGAGAAAACAGACTTGAAGAGTTTGAGGGGTAACTGCTATACTGATTAACTGGCTGTATGTGGAAACATAATCCTGCCAGAAAGGAAACCCTTTATGGTCACTTATCAAAGTGTCAGGAAGACTCCAAGTGCTGGTATTACTGGTAAAGTTTAGTTTATTATTGTTTAATTAGAGGTAGAGGTGTGGCAACATATCTTGGCATGATAAAACACAACACTGTGCAAAACACAGTGACCCCAAAAGGTGCATCAGGCCACCAAAGAGAAAATGCCCCGTTTGCTAGTCCACTGCTGACCTCAGGTGTTACCAGGGAAACCAGGGAAAGTTGTGGCTTATGAAACACTTTGAATATGGATCGCATGAAAATATATATTAATGGTGATAAGGCCCTTATAGGTGTCCATTTTATCCCTTACATAATTATTATTCTAACAAGACTTTAACTTGAAGTCTGTGTGTGTGTGTGTGTGTGTGTGTGTGTGTGTGTGTGTGTGTGTGTGTGTGTGTGTGTGTGTGTGTATCTTTTACCCTTGTATCTTTGCAAAGCCAGTAATGAGTGTTGTTCCATAGCGAGCTTTAAACTCCTGGAAGCGGCTCCCGTCTGTCAGCCGACTGACTACCTGGATAGACAGACAGAAACAGCATTAATTCTTTAAGTTATTAATTCACTTAGACAGTAATATGACAACCATGAAACCAACCGCATCATAATATGCATCACTGGGGTGTTTTTGCAACATGCCATTAAACCACTTTGAGAAACAGTTTTGACTTTATTTTTGTAATGATTAAGTTTGCCTGTAGATGGCACTCTTCCCCCAGACTGTTAAGCCAGAATGACCCCTTTCTAATGCCAACTACTCCGTCTACAGAGCAAATGTGTGTATGTATTATTGATTACTGTACCAGTTTAACATCCAGACTGTAGTTATAACTCCTGGGAGCAAGCCCCAGAAGCTCGTCTGAACTATACAGCGGCTCCTCCTCCGATTTCCTCTTCTTCATCTTCTCTTCATTCTCCTCCTCCTCTTCCTCGGGCAGTTGGAAGTTGAGGGTGGATATAATGTTTCTGGTGTAATCGTACGCCTCCTTCTCTTCCCAGGCAAAATAGTCCACACAGCCACTCACCCTGATACCAGAAGATAAATTGACAGACTTGATGATGTGAACTGTTTGTTGACATGTTTACTTCTTTAATAACTAGGTATTTAAAGACTGGTTTGATTTATAGACCTACTCGGCGTGTAGCCTTGCTCCTCCGAGGTCCTCTGGTGTGACTTCTTCTCCTGTGGCAGCCTTGACAAGTGGTGGTCCTCCCAGAAATATGGTCCCTATCCGGTGCACCATCACTGCCTCTTCCGCCATAGTGGGGATGTAAGCTCCACCTGCCGTGCACGACCCGCACACCACCGCCACCTTTAGGATTATTCGATTTTTGTATCAAAATAGCAATTTAAAAGAATGCAAATTTTACCTTAATTTGAATTTTATCACAAAATCCACACTGTTGGTCATTTGTGCTGTCTTTATCAACAGAATTTGATCCTTTAACCATCAAAATTTTACTTGATAGAAGTCCAAAACATCATTAATGAGCAGGTCCAAGTGTCTGACAGTATGCTGTTTCAAATACCACACAACTGGACGGCTACAGTTCCAAAATATGAGCCTTGTGCATTTCTACCTTATATGAACTAAAGCTTTAGATTAGAACAATATTGAATTTTATGTAGTCAGGTATTTAGTACATAAGATGCTGCTAAGGCTGGAGATATACTTGCTTTTTAATATGTGTTTGTGTTTGTGTGTGCTTGAGGGCTGCCTCGTGTATCCTGCATCCGTTTGGAGCGTTGGTTGTAGTGCTCGGCGGTATGATCAAAAACTTGCATCACATTATTTTTAGTACATAAAAAATCATGCAGGAAATTAAAACCAGCACACTGTTCATCCGGTATATTGCCCAGCACTCGCTGGTTGTGCACATCCTTACAAATAAACACGACGAAGCGTCTGTGGCGTGAATGTGTTTTTAAAAAGAAGGTATATCTCTGACTTAAAACTGTAAAATAAAGGGAACCTTAAAACAGGCTACCAAGAACACATGCACTGGAAAACATTATCATACAGTTCTGTTTAATATATTGTTTATACGCTCCGTTGTGTTTATTTTAGTAGCACATTTAACTGTTCATTTTTATCCTGTTCTGTTCAAGCAGACCTGTACTTTACATTTCTTTACCTGCGGGATCTTCATGGCAGACATGATGGCTTCGTTATAGAACGTCCGTCCTCCCTGGTTCTTATCAGGAAAGATCTCTGACTGCATAATTAGACACACACAGAATTAGAGATAAAAAAAATAGCAGTCAGTATAATTCAGCTAACATTCAGATCTCCTGAAAACACTTCTGTGTGCGTGTTTTAACCTGCAGTGGCAGGAAAGCTCCTCCTGAGTCGACCAGGTAAACACAAGGCAGGCGGTTCTGAATTGCTACTTCCTGTGCCCGCAGCTGCTTCTTCACTGTGATTGGATACGCTGTGCCGCCTTTCACTGTGGCATCGTTGGCGATAAACACACACCACAGGTCATTGATCCTGCCGATGCCTGGATTGATACATATAATAAGTCAGTGATACACATGCGTCATCATACAGTTGGATATAACTTACTAACTGTGAAATTAAGGTTGAGTAAATCTGAGGCCTTTGTAGTCAGTCTAGTGAGATTATGCAGTCTATAGTTAGTACCAAAGGTACAGGATTGCAGCTAGTGGTTTCTGACCAGTCAGGCAGCCGGCTGAAGGGATGTCCCCATATGGCAGACCCAGACCGGCAAACAGTGACAGCTCCAGGAAGTCCTCATCATCCAGCAGGAGGCGCAGCCGATCCCTGACCAGCAACTTCCTGTTCCTCTGGGTGTGTCTGGTCATGGCATTTTCTCCTCCTCCTTTCATTACCTGTTCACGTAACTCCATGTACCTTACAGAGAGAGAGGGAGAGAGATAGTGAGTGACATGCATTTATAGATGTATTTCAGTAACTGATGAG